AGAAAATCTTTTTTAATAGTTGTTAATCTGAAATTTTTTCTTTTTATTCTTCTATCTATTTTTATTTTAATGTTTTTCTTATTTATCTTATCTAAAAAAAACATCTATTTTTCTTTTTTTAGATAATTTAATATTAGCATTATTAAGCTGATCTTTTTGTAAAAGAATCAGTAAATTAATAGCTGATATTTTTGATAACTATTTACTATTAAGAAACTTTATTTTATTACTATTTACTTTATTCTCAAGCTTTATATTTTTTTGTTTTAATTCTTTGACTTTAGATTACGCTTAATATTTTTTATCTTAATTTATATATTTTAGTCTTAATCTTAATAATTTTTTTTTAAGTTTAATAAATTTAGTTAAAAATTTAAAATTTAATTTTCTTAATAAATTAATAAATTAAGCATTTAATATAATTAATAAAATTTTATACAAAATATAAATTATTTAAATTTTTGTGTTTTAAAAATCTTTTAATTTATAATTTTAATAAACAGATGAGATATAAATCATATTATTTAATTGCTATTATCTTATGATACTAATAATTAAAAAATTAGTATTTATGTAAAATTAACAAAGGATTTAGCAAGAATCAATATTTTAAGAAGAATTCTAAAAAAAAGTGTACTTTTAATAAATAGCATATAGTTTAAAATAAGCAATAGAATTTTTATTAAGCAAAGAATTCAATAAAATTATATTTATTTATATATAATATATTTAAGTATTTATCTTATTTTTGATAAATATAAATTGAGTTTTCTAAGTTTTTAATTTCTCTATCATTAATTAAGTTCTATACCTATTTATATTAAATCTACTAATATAAATAATTAAAATAATAATAATAAATAATTTATTGATTAATAATATAAAATGATTAATAATATAAAAGAAAATTTTAGTATTTTCTGAATTTTTCACATAACTTTTTTTAAATTTGTCTTTTTTATCTTTATTGTCTCTATTATTTAATATAATATAGTAATATAACTTTTAATTATATACATCTTATTAAGTTAGTTAATCTTTTAATTAGTTATTCACTTATTATATTATACTAATAATAATATATAGGTAAGTATAAAAATATTGATCATATGATATAATTTAAATATAATGCATATTGTTATATACTTGATAATTAAAATAATATTTTTTATTTTTAGTTAGTCATATTTGTTTGTGTATTATTAAATAAATAATATATTATTATGAAATATAAAAGTGAATTATATAAATATACAAAAAAATCTAATTTATAGAAAAATTTTATCATCATAAAATGTATCTTAAAAAAAACTTAATAAAATTCAAAAAAAGGAAATTATTATAGCAAAGAAGTTAAAATAATACAAATAACAAAATTTCTGCTATTATATGTTATTACATTTTCTTTATATATGTATAAAGGTCAAATAAGCTAAATAAATTTCTAAAAAAAATGAATAAATTAACCATAAATTCTTAATAAATTTAAATATAAAGAATTCAAGTAGAAAGTTATTAAAAATAAAAAAACTATTATTAAATTCTTTCTTAAATATGTTTAAATATTAAGAATGAAATAATTTATATAAATTATTTGCAATAAATTAGCTGAATAAGATCTCTACTCACATATTCTTATTTCAGTCTGTTAATTTCTAAAAAATAAAGAAAAATATTTACTTTAGACTCTTATTTATAAAAATTGTATAATAAAGGATTTCCAAAAGATAGTTTAATCAGACAATTCTACTTATACACAATTTAGAACCTTAGATTTTAAATAAGCATAACATGAATTTTCTAAAGAGTTTAACAAAAATTTATTGCAACTACAATCCAAAAAAGCTTTAATTGTATATTTTAGAGATATTTCTTTTAAATTAATATAGATTTTCTAATCCTTTTAATTAGCTACATAAATTAAAAATACACAGTATGAAGTTTTGTTTAATTATATAATTTTTACAGTTAAATTTATGCAAAAATATTAAAAAACTTTTTTCAAGAGAATAACGCATCTATTTACACTATCATTTTTTCTTTGAATTTTCAAATATTAAGGTAATTTAAAGTCTAATATCAATCTGATAGAAAATTTTTCGTTATATATCAAAGATAGAATTTATAAAAAGAATTCACAATCTTCAAATATTATGTAATTGAAGTAGTAGATTTTAAAGAATAGGATACAGTATCTGTAAATTATTACTTTAATTTGATTAAGTTTATACTATATCAGATTCAAGTTATTCTTGCAGAATAGAAGTCTAATAAAATATTAACCTAAATTTTTAAAATATAAAAAAATTTAATATTAAAGTTAGTTTTTTGAAATAAAGTTTTTAATGTAATCAATATTTTATATCTTCCTATATATATATTGATTTTAATTTTCTTTATAAATATCAAATGCACAAAAATAATTAAGAAAGTAATACGTTTGCTTTATTTTTTAAACATTTATAAAGAAGAAGAGATTGATTAAGATTATGATAATATTCTTATAAATTTAGTTTATATTAATTTACATATCTTATTATTAATTTTATAAGATATAACTTTGTATTTTATTTACATTTACAAAAATCATTTTTTTTAATAAAATTATATTTTCGCAATTTTTTATCTTTTTATAATTCATAACATGATTATTAAAATATATTTTTATAAAAATTAAGAATTAATATTTTTATTTACTTAAAAAAAAAAACTTTTATTTTATAAAAAAAGAATTTAATCAATAAAAAAATAGTTTAAATATATTATTTAATAAAAAATTAGATAATCATCTAACATGTTATTATTGATTTATATGACATAAAGCATCAGTCAATCATATTTTACAAAATCTGCAGATTCTTTTAAAACACTAATTCATGTGTTTAATCAGTGATAAATAATTATACTAAAAAAGCATTCTTAACTTAAGAAGAGGTATAAACCTTTATCTTAAATTAGAATATATAATAAAATTTGATATATAAATAAGAGATTTTTTTTGTTTTTTTACAGCTTACTTCATTTATGCTTTAAATTTCATTTTAAATTGTGTTATTTTATTTTTTTTACAGTTTTTTAATTTATTTATTTTTATTCTATAATTAAACTAATTTTTTAAATATATTGTAAAATATGCTAAATTAATTTTTATTAAAAACTTAAAATAAAAATGTGATAAAAAAATAAATATTAATATACTGTATTGTTAAAAATAATGGCAACTGCTTTATTGTTTTAGAAGTTTATATAACTGTTATATTCTAATAGTAAAAGATATAGTAAAATGTAAATTATGTATATAATAAGTTGTTTTATTTAATAAATAATTATTTTTAATAAAAATAAATCATGTTTTATTTTATAATAAATCTTCTAAAAATGAAAAAAAAAGATTGAGAAATATTTTTCTTTCCACTTTTCCTTTAAATACTGCCCTAAATACTGCAAAATTCATATTAAATTGAATATTTCTTTGTTATATTTTTTTTTGAAAATCTAAGATATATGTTATATAAACAAATTGGGCTAATGAAACTCATCAAATCTTAATTATATATCCCAATTTAGGATAAGGTTTACACCCTTATCCTAGATTAAGGATGTCCCCAAAAAAATTTTCGATCATATGGAAAACGTGTGATAAATAATACTTTGCATAGCAGATTTTTCCAGAAATTTGTATTATTTTAATGTTAATCATGAAAGATAATATTGAATTACAAATATGTATTATAAGATTTAGAGAATATACGTTTTAAATCTATTAACATTGTCATTCACCGTAGTAGAAGGAGGTCCAAAAAATGATCAAGAAAACAGTGAAGTATTTAAAAAAAAATGATCAAGAAAAAAGAGAAGGTTCAAAAAAGTCTAACGTAATTCCTCGAGATTTACAGAAATAATTACAAGTTCTTTACAGGCAGTTTGACTTTTGAGACTTTATTTTAAGTCAATTCTAACAAAAAGAAAAAAACAACGTAATACAGGAGAATGTGGTATTTTTTTTTGAATCACCGAGCTTTTCACTTAAATAACTATTTAGCTTCTTCGTATTCTTGATTTTTCAATTAAATAGGTATTGTATAGTTGTTCTTTTAATTGTAATCAATCTTAAAAAATATATTTATTCTATAAATATTAATTTAAAATTTATAAAACTTTAGATATTAAATGTCTTATTGTAGTTAGTGAGAAAACTGAAGAAAATTGAAGAGTTGTATTCAATATTTTCATATAGTACGATTGCTTGATTTTATTTGCGAAAAAGGATTTAATAAAGAGTTTTTTATTTGTATATTTTATGTAACATTCTGGTAAAAGAATGGGAATATTGACGCATTATCACATAGAACCAACATTGGCAATATCATTTTTTGGATCAGGATAAAAGATTTGTTGAAAATTTGAAGTTTTATCATCATGATGGATAAATTTACTGTTAAAATAGATCATTAAACTTGTGCAGGATTTTTTTTTTTTATTCATTGCTGATCAGTACCAATATACCATTGCAAAAGTATAAATATTTGCTACCACAGTTAACTTTTCGCTTTATTAACACAGTAATAAATAATGTTATGTTGCATATGTAAAGACCCTGTAACATGATGATGCTAAAATAATTAGGTTATTCTGGCTTTCGTTGGATCAAATCCAACAAGGTTGCCAAGAAAAAATTTATTAAGCACTTTTTATTAATCCAATACAAATACCAAACATACACTTATTAAATAATCAAAATGTGAGCGAACTAATTTAGATTCAGAGGTTTGTTTGCGATCAACTCCTATCTGAAGTTGCTCAATGCTTTAAAACAGCAAAGTATGGAGAAGCAATGACGTAATTGGAATTTCTGTTATCCATGCCGCATGAAGGATGTCAAGAGCCTTTCCTTCTTGGTTCACAACACATTTGAATGCAAATGTTAATTGTCATTCAAATCACACAGTAGGATAACATAGCTGGTGCATTTCATTGATTTTTTTCGACCTTTGGCGCCTTCATATAACTAATGAATATTCCTTTGTTAATGTCGTTACTTTAAGAGGGAATTTCTCCTTGCTTTTTCGCGTAATCAATGTTTTAGTTTCTTTGAACAATGGAAACAGCAAAATAAATAGGGAATTTTCCAGAATAAGACCTGTAACCTTTCCTACTTTAAAGACATCGATATCAACAACGACATCACATTCTTCATATGAATAAAAGTCATTTAGACATGTGTCTTCAGAAAAGTTTTGCTTTTTTGAAGTCCTCTGGGAAATTGAAAATTTGTTTGGGCGAAATGTACGATTGTTGTTACTGAAAATACAAAATGCAGCATCGATGCCAAAGTACTTTTTATGTATTTTAGAGAAAAAGTTATCTCGCATTCCACGCCCATACACGCTAGAGCTGATTTCTTTTTATTCTCTTCGATATTATTACACATTTCTTCTGAAATTTTTATGTACGTTTTATTATTTATACTCTTGCCATTTTAACAAATGACTCCTTCAAATTATCTAGATTAAAAAAGCCTTTTCTAGTGCTCGAATTGCTAAACCTACATACATGCTCACATGAGAGGATATCAATCTGTCTCGAGTTTTTATCATTTACGAAAGCACTGAGATTTCCAGATGTCCCCTAAGATTCAATTATTCCTATACTCGACCCTAACATAACATTTTCCTGATAAAATTGACAAGCACTTGCATTAAAACCATAGGGATTTGCAACGCAAGCCTCAACTACATCTGTTAAATATCCGAGAGTCTTATCTGGGAATTTGACACACCCACGGCGCAGAATGCCCTTCTGGCGATCATATAGTATGATAGCGGGGATTTCAGTAAACTTGCCTTTGTTTCGCTTATGGCCAGTGTTCATGCCGACAATACTTAGTGTACAATCATACAATTTATAAAGCATTAATACAATATTGGGTTTATAAACATATATAACTTTATGCTGTAAAATTATATACCTTTGTTTATGAATAGGATGAGAAACAACTTCAATGAAAGAAATATGATCCGTGACTCAAAAATCTAAAAGCTAACGACTTTTCATTAATGTATGGTCAACGCCAAAATCGGCGATATTAATTTTCGCAAATTTTCGTGTTTCCAAATTAAGGTTTCGGGATAAAAATTAACGTTCAGTGAAGTAATAGTTACTGTTCCGATTCTGAGGCGCAGAAAGTTCACAACAAAAAATTTGCATAGAGAGGTTTTGGTCCAAGGTAATGAAATTCATTCATTTATGTCTTTCTTATAATTTCAAAAACCTATATAATTTTTTTTGACAATGTCACACCAAAAATATCGGGTTTAACTTTATATGTATACAATATACAAATCAATGATGATAAAATATGGGTATATAATTTCGACTTTGAAATTTAGTTTCGACTTTCCCGGTATAAAAAATTGAAGGACGAGATAAATCTTCGAAAAAGTGGGTTCATTTGGATAAATAATCAATTTCCGATTACTGTAAGATAATATCTTTGGAAAGAAATCTTTTTTTTTTTTAATAAATTTTATTATTACCAACGAATAAGTTATCTAAACTATTATGAAAAAAAAACGAAAATCCAAACCTGGTTCGTTCAAAGTTATTGTAATTATTTATTACCGATATAAGTTGTTATGAAATGGATACTATGGGTAATGAAGAAATGGGTATATCATGACCTTTTTACTGATTTTAATCGAGATAAGGTCTCATCGAAGAATAGATTCAAATGAATTAGATATTTTAGGAGAATAGGTACAATGAACTTCTTATTTAGATACTCAATCAAGTAAGATTTTATTAATTCCGTAGATGTTTATTAATTTATTGTAATTAATTAATATTTTTATTTAGAATTAAAACAAATTTACCTTCAAAACGTTAAAAGGTTAAACAAGCTGACTTATTCAAAAAAATATAAACAATTTAAAGACTACAGTTGCCGCCCGTTGTGAGACTTGGTGAGTTTGGTCAGTATACTGAGATGTCGTTAAAAAAAAATTTACTTTTTAAAAAAAAAAACAATGATTCGAGGCTTTTTTAAAAAATCGGTCGTAATAATGCATCTGTATTTGAAAAGGATACTTTCTTTATATGCTCTGTCCTGTGTTTGCTAGGATGTACAGAGCGGTGAATTTTTTTTTTCACGCTTTCTATTCATTTTTTTTACTAAATTGTGAAGTATAAAAAAAAAAAAATATCCCAAGTTTCATAGTTCATCGTTACGAAATCTATGCATTTAATATTTATATTACGGAAAACGATTAGAAGGGAGTGGTCCTCTCGTATTTTTATTATTGGTCATGGTAAATTATATGAGTCAACCAGATCGTTACATTAAAACTAATAAAGAATCTGTAGATGATAAAAAAAGATTGTGATTTCTGTTTTTTTCAATTATGAAACAAGATTTTTTTTATCTATTTAGAGGTGATGACGATTTTTAGTACCGCGTACCCCCTCATTGCGCGAATGATTTACAAAAATGGATTGGTTGAACCTTGGCGTTAATTTCCGTTGAACTTTCTACGCATAAGCTTTTGTTTCATAAATTGGTTTTATAAACTATAATGCAATGATAAATGTGAGATTCTGAGGAGAATTTTCGATCATACACAATTTACGGTTATTTGCATTCACTGAAAAAGGTGAAACATTAAAAAAAAAAAAAATCACAAAATTCATATAATAAATAATTTTCCCATCCATTCATATTTATTACCTTTAGCGAATAAATTCAAAGGGTTATTATTAGTAACTTAAAAAATATAATTACCCCCTTTGAAAAGATCATCAATTCATCTATTCCTGAGTCGATCGTCTTACCAAATCTCACTTTGTCGGAAATTTGTTTTACCTATCGAGTATTTCCCTTATTTCATAACCCTTATGATACAATGCAAGTTTCTAATGATACATGATTGTTCAATTATCAATTATCACAAACGCAACCAAATTAAGGCATGAAGTAAACTATTGAGGAAAGAGGGATTGCATTATTAACGTGAAAGCCGTAAAGTTAAAGTTTAATGGATACAAAGAAACTGAAAAAGAAATAAGCAAAGAATGTTGAGTTTCGGAAATGTGAGAAAGACACCCACACATCGATGTGACATTAAAAAAATCCGATCCTTTTTCTTACAGGTTCGTGAAAGTAATTAAAGTATTACAAGAATTTGACTTAACGCTCATCATAACCGAAAAGTTTATATAAATATGATAAATTTTTGCGTTTTTTTTTTTCCTCATCCCCTCTGAAAAAAAAATCACAAAGAGATTGACGGGCATCACCTTTCGCCTTTTCCTATTTAATATTATTTATTCTCCTTCACCTCACCCCTCCCCCCTTTGATAAACTCATTTTCTCCTTTTAGAGTAGTCGCTGGCCTTCTATTCTTTAATCCGCAATATATATATATACACACACAATATAAATACATCATATTTATTTTTACTTTTTTTTTTTTGTTTTACATCAATTCACTTTATTTATCGAAAAAAATAAAATAAAATGAAAGTTACATTCTTGATCAGCTTTATTTTACTCGCCTCCTCTCTTTCCGTTTCGGCCACTGAAGAAAAGGAAAAGTTAGAATTTGGCTATGTCGGATCGATAGGTCCAGCCAATTGGCATTTACTCTCGGAAGAATCCAAAGTTTGTCTAACAGGAAAAAATCAATCTCCCATTGATATCACTTCACAAGATTTAAAAACTTTGGCAAAACCACCACCCGCAGAATTCAAAAATGCTAAAGATGTTGAATCGTTTAATAATGGTAACACGGTTGAAATCTTTTCAGGAAAGGAAGGAGTTCCTTTACCCGCTACTATCCAGGTTGACGGGGAAACCTATGATTTACAACAATTTCATTTTCATACCCCTTCAGAGCATAGAGTAAATGGCAAACATTTTGATATTGAACAGCACTTGGTATTTACAACTAAAGATGAGAAAGTTAGCGTTGTGGCAGTATTTTATGATGTCGGTAAAGAAGAATCAAAATTCATGGCCCCTATCGTTAAAGATTTACCCAAAGAGAAAGACGATAAAAAGAAAATCGAGGAGATTGACCTATCCGGTTTATTAACCGACATTAAAAATATCACCGCCGCTTTCACTTATTCCGGTAGTTTAACTACTCCTCCTTGTACCGAAGGTGTTACTTGGTACGTTAATAAAGATGCTCAAGTGGTTTCTCTTGATCAATTCTTGGGATTAAGAGAAGTAACGGGATTCAATTCTCGCTTCACTCAATTAAGATCGAATGATACTACAAAAGAAAAACATGTAAAAAAGAGATCTCTATATAAATTTGATCGATTTCTAAAATAATTTTTTGATACCCGTCAATCCTTTCCTTTTTCTTTTTTTATAAATACAGTAGATATATAATTTGTACTTTTAGAACTTTTTTGGGGTGTTATCGAATTAATTTAAATAAATTAAATTACAAAAAAAAAAAAAAAAATAAATAAGTAAATAAATTGAATATTATTTTCAAATAAGTGCCGCAGTATAATCGTTTCTTTTTTTTAAAATTAAACATAAATAAGGACTTGAATATCTCGTACTACCGAAATATTATTTCTAGTTAACAATTGGATCTCTTTCGCCCACAACTCTTAATACTCATGAATATGAAACATTCATCATTAAAAGGAATTTTCCATGTAAAACGTGTGAAAGCGAAATAATATTTATATTCAACTTTAAAGGCATTTGGAGTATCCATGATTGTTTCAGATTTTAACTAATATATTTGACACATAATATTATTTATTGATAAATTAAGTTGACAGAAACAATTATCATTTTAACCATTTTTACGGAATAAGGAACAGACCAAAGACAAAGACAGCGATCAAAACGTCAAATGTCACGTTTTTTTTTTGTCTTACGCATACAGATATAGTAATGAATGTTCAATTTTTAAAATTATAATTTCTTGAATCCAAAATGACAAGCGAAGAAACTACAACTGTTATAAGTCCTTTCGATTTATTACCAGACGAGATTTGTTTAAGGATATTTACAGAATTACCTGTGTCTACTATTTGTCTTTGTCAAACGGTAAATTTTTTAATTTCCTTTTTTTTTTTTTTTTCTCACGGTTATTATAAAAAGCTAAATGCTCTTTTTTTAGGTATCTAAAAGATGGTATTATATATTTCAAGATGAATCATTATGGCAACATCATTGTTCAATATTTTTTGAACCGGGACCTTTGCCACCAAGAACAAGTTCAACTTTAGATAGTTGGAAAAAGTTTTACAGACTACAATTGGATCGGAATAGAGGAACGGCAAAAAAAGCGTTTAATTTTAAAGCTCATGATTCCAAAGTCATTTCATTAAAATTACGAGGAAATATTTTAGTTACGGGATCAAACGACAAGTTTCTTGGTGTATGGAATATTAAAACTGGTAAACGGGAAAAAGAAATTCATGTTGGTGCTGATATTATTTGCGTTGATTTCATTGAACATAAAGATGTGGTTGTTTGTGGATCTTATTATGGGTATGTCATGTCTTATAAGTTATTAGAAGTTATAAATTTTTTTTATTCCTTCAAAAAAAACCTAACTACCTTTTCTTTCTTAGTGATTTCGGATGTAAGTTGTTTTCTCTTTCAACGGGAAAACCTCTCGGGGAGTTTCGAGAGGATCATTGGATAGGAACTCAATGCTTGGATATTAACGATGAATATATTATATTAGGAACTTATAAAGGAATGATACATGTACTATCTTGGAAAGACGGTAGAAAGGTAGCATTATTTCATATTCATAACAATAGGGTGAGTTCATGTTCATCATTATCATTATTATTATGTTGATTCTTTATTTGACAAAATATCATGTTCATGTTTTTTTCCTTTGAAACAGGTTGCAGGTGTTCGCCTACTTGGTAAAGATACTGCCATGTCTGTTTCATCAAATGGAGCTATTGATATATTCAGCATTTCAACAAATGATTTACTTTATCAACATTTCCTACCAAGAACGGCCGTCAACATATGCGCGTTCGATAATAATGTAGAAGGACATGACCTTTTATGTATAGCACCAAAGGGATCAATATTTCATTTAAGGTGGGAAGATTTAGATGATGTGAAAGGATCTATTTTGAGTGAAGAGGGAAAAATCGATGAGAGGATAAGAAAATTATACTCAAAAGATCCAACAATAATTTATCAAAATAATGAAATAAGTGATAGATTATTTTGTGCGGCAATCGATTCAAGATATAATTACGGAGTCATTGGATCGTTATCGTCATTCCCGCCAAAAGGCGATTTATTGATTTATAATTCAAATGTCAGTAGAGTAAATGGAATTCGCGGTTTTAATAAGATTAAATTGAAGAATTTTACGTCATCTGATACTGTATGTGATGTAAATGTTGATACCGAGAATGTAGGGAATGTTTCCCGTACGGAAAATGGTCTATTATCATTACCTGATTCCTCTGGTTCCGTGTTTAATGTGTTGGGAATTGATGAAGAAAGGGTTGTGTCTGGCTGTACAAGAGGCTGGATTCATTGTTTTGAATTTAATATTTGATTATAAAGTGGGAATTCTGATATGTATTGGATTTTGTAGAATAATTGGAAATATACAATGTGTATTCTTTATGTAAAAATTTATATATACAAGTCTCCCTTTATTTGTTCGTTTCTATATAAATTATATTAGTAAGAATGGTAGATTATATAATTGTACGATATTACACACTATCTATTATACTCTATTTTTATTATTATTATTTTTTTTTTTTTCTCATTTTGAGTTTTTATTTTTACTACGAATACAATTAATAAAGTAGCAATAAACCAAAAATTTCCACTTCATGCTATACAAAAAAAAAAAAAAAAAATCAAAGACCCCCTCTTGTTTTGAAAGGGAACATATTGTCACCGTTTTTCTGTTTCGACGCGTAAAGATCATTTTTTGGCACGTTCCCAATTTTTCAAAGCCAAAGCTTTAAAGCCATGAAACCAAATTACAAACCGTTCAGGTTCGGATGAATAAATAAGTGCTTGGACTAAACAACAGTTCTCAGTTATAGATTTTAATATCGTAAAGAGGAATAGGGGGTATTGCAAATAGAATACCGATCGTTATTACAGTGGCTAAAGTATCCCACATTAGAAAAGTAAAAGCACGTTTCCTATGAGCATATAGAACTGAAATTTCTTTGATTTTATGAAATCGAAATAATTTATATTCACTTAAAGAAGGGGGGGAAAAAGGCAACGTTAGAATCTTCTTTTTTTTTTTTCCCCTTTATAAAAAAACTCCCAAAAGAAATAAAACGTTTCATATACCTTGCACCAAATAAGATTAAGGGTGGAAAGAAACGAGTAGCAGCAGTTTGTAATAAAATCCAACCTAACCATATAGGAGGAAACCCCCAAAATCTTTTTAATCTGTTTTCTTCGCCCATAAAAATAAGAAATAATTCTAGAGCCAAACCAATTGTTAATGCTACTATGCCCAAAGGTAGAGCGGCTATAGCATTTAAATGAGATATATTCATGTCAATAGCGGATTGTATAAATTTTGGAAAATATATTACATTCATGATATGATAAACATAAGATTTTGCTGATGAAAACACAACAGGATTAAATCTCCCTTGCCGTTCAATTAAATCCTGCATCGTCGTACGACTTTCCTCTGGTAATATATTCATATGACCATATTTTTTATAAATGTTCAGAGAAGACTTTGCTAAATCTTCCTCACCAACCCTTTTTATAATTTCAGGTTGTGTATAATCTGATGATGAGCGCTCTTCAGAACTTATAGTGATTTCATGATGATCATTATTGCCAATACCACCACCATATGTTGTTGATGATGCTTTTGTATGTCTCTTTGAAGTAGAATGTCGATAATTTGATGAGGATGATTGAATTACAGGATTTTTTGAATCAACAAAAGAATTCACAATTGAAGGTGCAACAGTATCTTCGGCACTGGAACTACTATCATGATGATCATGAGAAGGTTCCCAATCAGCAATTTCTTCTTTATCACCATCCTCTTCATCCTCTTCATCCTCCTCATCATCGCCTTCAATTCCCGCATTCCCACCTTTTCTACTAGCCCCTCCTCCATCACTTTCACTTTGTCGTCGTTCAGTCTCATTGCTTACTCTTTCTCTCGTTTTATTAATAATATTTTGATATTCTCGCCAAGATTCAAATAGATTTTCATGGGTAACGACATCTAACCAAAATTTTAAATTATGTTCTCCATGCCATTCATTTTTTAGATAAGCATAAAAATTGTATTGTGATAATGGAGAACCTGATTGATTCATTAATACCTTTTCTAATGGAGGAAAAAACGATCCATCCGGTATTATTAAATTATTATCTGGTATTGAACCTTCTATTTCTTCCCCACTAGTTTTTTCTTCTTTTTGTGAGGAAAATTCTGAAGTATCACCACTACTACGACGTTTTTGGTGCTGTCCTGCACCAAAGGAATGTATTGGAGGCGGTTCATTTCTATTATCTTCTTCCATGTTAAATTATATACGCAGCACTTTTTGTTTCATTTAATATATGATTGTCAATGATCGTAAACCGATTGTATAGCAAAGAAATTTAAATAAAAAAATATTTCATTACTAAAAACGAATTTTTTAATAAATTGTTTATTTTATTTGTTTATTTATTTAATTTACATTTATTTTTTAAAAAAAAAAATGAAAAGGATAATAAGGGAAAGGGATAAAAAAAAAAAAAAAAAAAAAAAAAAAAAGGAATGTGTATATATTTGTGAGGGGTAAGTGAAAGGGTAGGTAGTAAAAAGATTAGTTGTGGCAACATATAATTTAAATAAACCGTTATAGGCTAAATATTTGGCAAATCATAATTTAGCGTTCAAATCCTAATACGAAAATAAGTGATTTTTTTTTTTAATAATGACATTGTAAATCCGTAATTCTGATCGTTGATAATCCAGAACTTCATTCATTTCTTGGGTTCTAGTATTTATATTTAAAGTTTTAAAAAAAAATGTAAAAAAAAAAAAATGTACAGAATATATGTATAACAAATTACATACAGATTTTTTATTCCGTGATACATTCATCAAGCGATCGGAAATAAGTCAATCAATCGATTTTCCCGATTTGACAAAATTAATCTAAGCTTTAACGCGCAAAGGAAAAGCGCCCAAGGGTGGTTTAAATCTAGATGATATAAAATTAGATTTTCCAATCCGTTAAAATTAAGGAAACGCGAGAAAAGTACTTGAAAAGAATTGATGACTGAAGTACTGTACACTTGACCAAAATTGGTGGAACCAAACAAATGAGACATCTAGTTATGGATTGAAGGAATGCATCAAATCTTTTATGAATTATTAATTATAAAGTATCAATAAAGAATCTTAAATACATTAAATAAGATCAACTACTGAGTTTATGGTTGTTCATTCAAGCAACTTCGTCATCTCAATTGTAGCAACACCAATAACAAGGCGTTTCCATATATTGGTCATTGGACAGCCAAGTGTGTGTCGCTTATAATGTGATGCAATGTTACCAAATGAACATGTCAATCTTGGTTGCGGTGCGCTTGATGGTAATGACTATGGTGATATTCTTCATCACAGAGGGTGGATAAAAGTTTCCACCATTTTGTACATCGAATGGCTCATATACCACTAAACCAAATTTTTATATTTCATTCCTACCATCTCAATTTAAAATATATAAAATTTCATTTAATTTGAAACATTGGTTATTAAGAAATACAGCATCATGTAAACGATATTGTATAATTACTTCTTATAATTTATTATTTATTATTTATATCCGTTTTCTTAACAACCAGTTATTAAAATTTTAATATGTTGTAGAATGAGAATGTGTTAATTAAATTTGGTTTTATAATCTGTTTAATAATATTAATATTTTGTTCTATTTGAATTGCTGAATATGAAAATAATTGATATTAAATAATATTTAAACCTTTTGCTAAACTTTGTATTTAAAAATTATTTGTAAATAGAGCTTCGCGAGCCAAAAACCTTAATTTTTAAGTGCTTTTTATTTAGTTAGATTATACTTATATAAGAATAACAAAAAATTAAAAATAAAAATTTATATAAAAAATACTATTAAGAAAATTAAATCTTTTGATTCTAAATAGGGCCCCTGATTGTGATGATCGGAACCGTGTTGTAACAATCGTAATCAGAAGCCCTTCCTAACATTATTTTTAATAAATAATTTTAATATTTTTAAAATAAATAAAATTATAAATTCTATTAAAATATAATTAACAAATATTATAATAAAAGTTTAAATATTTAGATTACTAATATTTAATTTATTTTAATCAATTTATAAAATTATTTATTACATTTATAATAAAAAAGAGAAAACTACCAGAAAAATCAATTTTATTTATATATTAAATATAATTTTTAGGTTAAAATATATTCAGATTTATCATTAACTCATTTTTACTCATCTCTAATAGTTTCTTTTTTTCTATTACAAAAGTTTCATATTTTTAAAAGAATTTTATTAGTAAATATATATATTATCAATTAAAATAATAATAATATTTATATTAACTAAATATATAAATTAATTAATTATAATTTTTCAACATTAAAAATATTAAAATTATAAAATCAAAATACAATTTGTATTATAAAAAATAAATATTTTAATATATATATATATATTTATATTTAAATAAATAAATTTAAAAAATCTTTATATAAATAATTTATATACATTTTATAGTAGTAAAAATAAATACTTCAAAAAAAATAATTTTTAAATTAATATTAAAATTTTTTTTCTTATTTACTATATTTACTTTTAATTTTTAAATTTTATTATTAATAATTTATATATAATAAATATTTTTTGAATTTATCAATTTTTTTACATATGATATATTATAAGATTACAAATAATATATTAATTATCATACTACATGAATTTAAGTATTTAATTAAGTAAGAATTTAAAAATAAAATAAAATATTTAATTCATAGTTTAAAAATATAAATAAAATATAAAATTAAATTGGAATTTAAAAAATATAATAGAATATAAAATTAAGATAAAATTTGCAAATATTATTAAATTTTAATTAAATATAGTGAAGTATAATATGAAAAAAATAATAGAATAAGTATGAAAATGTAATATAAAATTAAAATAGAATTTAAAAATATAATAAGTTTTAAATAATATATTTAAATATAAACTTTAATATAAGCTGAAAATTATGTTTTAAATAATAAATCAAATTCAATTTTTATATATATTAAATTAATTATTATTTTTATTATCTCTATTATGTTTATTATTTCTATTATTTTTATTATTATTCTTTTTTATTTATTATTATTTTCATTATTATTTCATTACTTTATTTATTTAATTTTATACTCTTATTAGTTAAAAAATTATTATAAATAGAATAATTTTATTAAATAAATTTAAATAAATTCAAATAATTAATACATTCAATTATTCAAATTATTTTTTTAATAAAAAATAAAAGAATTCTATTTATATAAATGTAGATTTTGTATAATTAAAATTTAAATAGTATATTAAAAACTAAATAATATTTAATCAATATTATAAGAAAGATCAACTTTTATCAATTAAAGATAATATAAATATTAATTAAGTTAAATTTAAAATAAATAAATAAGAATAAAATATTAAATTTCAGTTTAATATAAATAAAAATATAATTAAATATCAGAATTTTAATAATATTAATAATATTTTAAAATAAATTTTGATAATAATAAAAAAGTTAATAATAATGATAATAATTTTATTGTTAAATTTTTTCTTTATCTAAAATATAAAATTTGTATTTAGAATTATTTTTTATTTTAAAAATTCTATATAACAATCAATTTCTATATCTTTATAAATTAAAAATTATTTAAATTTATTAAAATATAACTACCTATAATTATCATATGGAAGAGTTTTTAGGAAAATCAGGTTTTAAAAAAATTTTCACTTAAATTAAGAGCTTAATATATTTTAATCTAATAACATCAAAAATTAAAATACAATAAAAATCTCAATTTTGTTAAAAAATTCTTAAAACCTGATTTTTCTAGCAATTAACCTATATTATAAATTATTAATTTTACTAATATAAGTAAACATTTAAATTGTTTAATTATATTTATATAAAACAAAATATTCTTTTTATTATATATTTCTTCTTATATAAGATTTCTATTTATATTTATATAATAACTATTTTTATCAATAATAATAATTATTTAAAATAAAATGAATTAAATTATTTAATATTTTTTAATAAATTTAATCAAATTAATAAATAAAATCTAATATTTAAAATACAGAATATTGTTTTTACTTTTTATTTTATTTTTGATATTTATTTAGAACTTATAATATGATTATCTTTAATTTATCATATCTTATATTTTATCACATTTAAAAAAATTTTTAAATTAATTTAAAAAAATAAATTAAATATAAAATCCTTAATTAATTATAATCTTTTATTATAAATAGTCCTTATATTAATTAATATTATATATAATTATATAATTATCCTTCAATTTTTTTAATTCTATATTTGATAAAATATATTTTTTTTTGAATAGTGAATAAAACTCATATTTATTATATAAAATAAACTAAAAATCTATAAGAAGGCAATATTTTTTCTTTTACATTTAGAAATATCTGTTTATATAATTTTTTAAATTTTAAATGATTAAATTATTCATTTTAAAATTATATTATTCCAAAGATTAATATAAGAAAATATTTAAAATTTTATTAAAAGAATTAATATCTCATATATCTTTATATTAGAAATTACCAATATCTTTTATATAGATCAAAATCTTCTATACTTTTAACTATATGTAATAAGATATTAAAAATATATTTAATTGATCTTCATCATTGATATTTGTATAATACTTATAAATTATATATAATTAAATAAAAATG